AGAGAGAGCACGGTGAGTATTCTGTAATGTTTTTGCTATCGTATGTTTGATAATTATCGTATATATTACGTTAAGCATTTATCTGCTAAGTACTTAATGTGTGCTTGGCTTTATTATCTTATATTGAAACTTGAATTTGTTGTCATACTTTATAGTATATAACTTTTTTCTGTGGCTGTTTCGATTAAGTTTCGGATGCATGCTGTAAATGGGCCTTTGTGAAGTTTTGAAGTTTTGAAGACGTTTATTATTCATAAAAAATAAATCGTTCGCTTTAATTCCCTCTGTTATATGCATTGTTTGTGTGTTAATATTACCTTGTAGTTTAGTTATTTTAATCCAATTTGTCATCATTGAGATAATTGTGTGTGGCTTCATCTCTTGTAGAGACATAAGGATTCAGAGAGTTGACACATTACCTGAGCTGCAGCAGTGCAATAAGTGTTACAGCAATTACCAGCAGTTTTCTGCTTGACCAGCATGTTTAAGCCAGCCAAACTGGTCAACTTAAGTCCTCTTCAAATCCACTTCAACATGCAGTTGTCTGTGGAGGTATGAATATCTTGAGTTGTTTGTTTAATGTACTCACAATTTATTATTGCATAATAGTTTAACTGTGTACTTATTTATTTTAGGCTATACTATAAATTTTTGCAAGCAGTTATTGGTGTGATTATTTAGTTGTTAAATAAGGAACAAGGAAGGTTTTTTGGTGCCTTCTTGTGAGGTATGTCTCAAATTTATCTATCTATCTACACACATTAATAAGAAATATTAAAGTTACATTTTCCTTTAATATTCTGTAATGAAGGAGATCCCAGTAATCAAGAAGTTGTGAAATGGCTCCATTAAACGGACATCTGCTCTATATATCCTTATAATGGAGGAAGAGGACAAGGAAAAGGCCCTCAAGAATCTCCTGGAACAGAAGTTTCCAGAGTGCCCGTCATATTTCATCTTGTGTTCAGGGGAGTTATTTTTGTAGGATTGCCATAACAAAATGGGCCTAAGAGTGAATTGTTCATTTGATACATTTTAATTTGAATTCATGCAAGATTGTCATGGCAAAATGTGCCCAAGGGTGAATTGTTCATTTTGTAAGTTTTCATGCAGGATTGTCATGACAAAATGGGCTTAATAGTGAATTGTTCATTTGCTAAAATTCATTTTAATTTTTGTGTACATTTTGATTGTTACTTTTAAAATTATGCTGCTGTTTGTGTGTGTGTGCGTTTTATTGAACTTGAACTTTTAGTTTTCATATAGAAAAATGTATGATGCAGGTGTTCTTGACTTTGGAGTAAACATTTATTTTGAATCTTGTGATTAAATTATATTTCATATAAAATGCCCAGAAGTTTCAAACATTATTTTTAATATCACAAACAGGAAATTACTCGCATAATACAATGAAACGAATAACTGTATAGGTCTACAACTAAATTACACAAGATTAATGTTTATAAAATGCTTAATATGTCATTATAAAATGCATACATACATAAAGTATGATGTATCGTGTGTACTAAAAGCAAATTACCCCTTAAAAACCGTAAGGTGGCGCTACTCTGTTAAAAAAATGTAAGCTCCTCCCCTCACTTCCGGTTCTGTGACTGCGGTTCTGTGGCTGTGGTTCTGAAACTGCTGGTGCTGCGGGTCTGCAGCTGGATACTATTGACATTAACAGGTATAGACAGAAAATATGATTATCCTGACCTGAGGTAATTTACTGAATCAAACTCACATTTCCTTTCGTTCTTTCTTTTCATCCAATGATGACATTAAAGTCATCTGTTGCTGCTTCTGGCGTTTCTTCGCTGACTGTGCCGCAACCGCGATACCTGCTCATCAGAACTTTCAGTGAGCTATTTTTAGAGTGTGCCCTGCTCGGTCCTGCTCCTCTGTGGCGATGACGGCGTGCGGTTAAAAAATCATAACAAACGATTTTGAAAGTGGGGGGGACACAAACGTGATTTTGAAAAGTGTCCCCAGTGGAAATTACGCCCCTGGTGTTGAGGAAAATGTGAACAGAAAAGGATGCTGTATGGATGACAGAAGAGGACGACGATACAGAGAACAGATCTACTGCTCCTTACTGCAGCCTTTCTGTGGCTCTTGAGAAGACTCAACTCTCCCCTCCACAAAATAAGACCTAAAACGATTTAAATCAGAGCGGAAACCCATAAAGTCATAAAGTCATGGCATTAAATGTTGCATGAACGGCAATGAATGAATATCTTTCTTAGTATTTTTCTCTTGTTTTCCAGTACAAATATCTAAACATCCTTAAATCAAGATTACTTGGCATTACTTTATGAAATAAATGACCCATAATCAGTTTTTTTTATGGTGTTAGTGCTATTAGCCTACACACTTATTTTATGTCTCACGTGCCTGTAATCAATGGGGTAAGAAGTTCTTGTATGTTTTTGTGTATCTGTTGTATTGGTTGTGAAGTCAAGTGTTTTGGGGCTGAAGATAAATTTCCTCATGTGTGGACAATAACTATTTCTATGAGACATTTACTTAACATGAAAAAAAGATATTAAGTCTTGTTTTCTGAGAAACTGAACAAAATGAAGTGAGTTTATGATCAAAACAAGAACAAATATCTGTCAGCGGAGAATGAAAACGTGTTTTCTTTTGAATGAAGTTGATTTCTCTGACTCCATTGATAGATATTTGTTATTGTTTTAATCACAAACTCACTTCATTTTGATCAGATTCTCATGGAACATGAATGAATTCATTTTTATTCTCCAGTAAATGTATCTTGTTTTATGAATCTTCAGACATTTGCACTGGAACACAAGACAGAAATCCTGAGGGAGAGCAACAGTTTTCTGCAGTTTGATCATTTGTCATTTTGCTCATCAGACTGTTTCCTTGATCCTATTGATAGGATGTCATTACGTTGCAGAAGGGCCAGGAACATCCTCAAGGACCCGTCACACCCAGGACACACTTGTTGTATACTTTTATAATTGTACTGTAGAGTCTAGTATGTTTGTTTTCTAACAGCAGTCAGGAGCAGTGCTCCTAGTTTCATTGTATACAGAAAAATACAATGACAATAAAGGCTTTTCTTTTTCAATATCTGTCACTGCATTTCTCCAGCAGCCACTGGATAGCGCTGCTCTCACACTCGAAGTTATGCTCTGTGGGTATGGCAAGCCCTTTTAACTTTTCATGTTTAAAACATCTGATTTGATGTTGAACTTGACACTCCATCACTGACGGAATTAACCGTCACAAAGCTG